TTCGACGAGAAAGTCCATGCTGGGGTGAGCCAACCCTGCAGTCGGTCCCTTTTACTCGGAAAGAGCGGCACCACCACCACCAGGGACCACCATCGGGAGGAGCCAGGGGGAGGCCCCCCTGGTGGTGTCATTAGCCCCCCCCTCTCGCTCGAGACGTCCCCCAGATCCCCAACTCGGGGAGGCATCGTGGACCCCCTCGCAGGAGGTGCCCCCCCCCCCCCCCGGGCGGTGGTGTCGCCCCTCCTTCCTCTCGCCGTCGCTCGGACGTCCGTGCCCTGTGCACGCTTCGGTGTCGCGCGCGTCCTGTGGCCCGAGGGGCGAGGACTGCACGCGTCCGAGCGATGCCCAGTCCTCCGAACGTGGGGCCGAGGACCCCGGATCTCCGACGACCCCCGACAGTGGGAGGGGGAGGGGGAGGGGGAGATGGTGGTGGAGGAGGAGGAGGAGGAGAAGGAGGAAGGAGGAAGGAGGAAGGAGGAAGGAGGAAGGAGGAAGGAGGGAGGAGGAGGAGGAGGAGGAGGAGGAGGACGAGGAGGAGGACGAGGAGGAGGAGGACCTCCGACGACCCTCGACCTCCACCTCCCGCACCTCCAGGCCCGGCAGATGCCGCGCGGTCGCGGCAACCGCCGGCGCGGCCACAGCTGCGGCGTACGTGGTTATGCTCACACTCGGGCTGCTGCAATAAGAAGCGCAACATAAGGAACGCAGCCCTGCCCTGGCACCGAGAGAGCCTGGGGTGCACGAGGAGACCCTGAAGAGCGACCACGGGCCGACCTGAGGAACAGCGAGCCCCTTCTGAACCCAAGGCGGTCGTCATCGGCGGCGAGCGAGGGGGGGAAGTGAGAAGGAGGGGAGAAGCAAAACCAAAACTCACGCGGCCAATTCTGGTCTGTTCCAACACGAAACGCGCCGTCAAGACAGCACCTCGGGTGCGCCGCTTGACCGGGGAGTTGCGCGCGACGCCCCCCGCGCCCGGAGCAGGAAAAATCAGCTCCCGAAGGTCTTCTCAGAAGGCGGCGGGGCTTCTCAGTAGCCACTCCGGCCTTCTGAGAAGTGTCCTCTGCCTCGGGGGAATGCCCCGGGAACTTCTCAGAAAAGGCCAGGAAAGATCCGAGCCTTCTGAGAAGGCCAGCCCCCTCTCACTTCCCGCCCGGGCTCGCCGCCGACCTCATCTCCGCGTCTTGGCTGTATACCGATCTCTGTGGTTCGGCGAACGTGCCATTGAGCCCGATTGAAGTGCCATTTCACCGGATCAAGCAGCAGCAGCATCAGCATCAGCATCAGCATCCTCCTCCTCCTACTTCTTCTCCTCACGCCCTCCTCCTCCTTCTCCTCCTCCTCCTCCTCCTCCTCCTCCCTCTCCTCCCGCCCTCGTCCGTTAAGCTGGATTGAGGGGGATTGCGCCGAACTGGGCCAAATCACCCCAGACTACGACCGCGAAACTACCAGCGCCGGTAAAGAACTCAACATCCCAGGAATTGCATCCTAAATCAGGCCTCGGTCATGGCTGCATACCGCTCCCCCAGAACTCTCCCGGGGCGCCTTCTGACCAGGACTCCGAGGCGAATCCAGCGGTGGCGACGAGGCCATCCCAGGTGGCCAGAAAAGCAAGAACAGGCGAGAAGCAGAGGTGTATGGGCATCTCGTCCCAAACATGCGACGTCCTGATTTTTTCAATACGTGGTCCCTGGAAGTCCCGACCCTTTACCTGGGACCGTTTTTCGTCCTGAATAGTTTTTCACGGTCCCGAGGCCCGGCGAGGGCCCCCCATTGCAGAAACTGGCCAAAAACCTCCCGTCCTGATTTTTGTACGCGATCATGCCTGGGTTCCTCTTCCGAATCTCCGTGGTCTGGCGAACGTCGCGCGCGCGCCGCGCGCGCGCGACACGGGCGGCGCCTGCGCGAGCAGCACGGCCTCCTCGCGCCGTTGTGCAGCCCCGTCGCCGCCGAGACCAATATCGCCGTCAGGAGAAGGAGGAGGAGGGGGAGGAGGAGGAAAAGGAGGAGGAGGAGGCGGAGGAGGAGCAGGAGGAGGAGGAGGGCGGAGGAGGAGGGCGGAGGAGGAGGGGGAGGGGAGGAGGAGCAGGAGGAGGAGCAGGAGGAGGAGGAGGAGGAGGAGGGGGAGGAGGAGCAGGAGGGAAGGGAGGCGAAGGAGAGGCAGGATGAGTTCCAGGACGCTCGAGAGGAGGCCAAGGAGGGGGGACGACGACGCCGACCAGGCGCTGTTCCGCCGCTCCCGTGGCCCAGCCCACAGAAGGAATCGTGACCAGGGTTCTGACCTGCGGAGCTCCTGGGGCCCAAGGGCGGAATCGTGACCTGGGTTTTTTGCCCTGTGGGTTTTCTGTTTGGCCTTGCGCCGTCGGGCCTCTGGGCCCTGCCGGGAGCGCGCGCGCGCTGGCGGTGCTTCGCTGCTCCGCTGCTCCCGTGGCCCGGCCCACAGGAGGAATCGTGACCTGGGCTCTGACTCGTGAAGCTCATTGACTACCTACCAGACCACCCCAACCCAACCCGAAGACCCGAATTTCGGGTTGGGGGGGGTAAGGGTTCCACATGTGTTTTTTCTATGTTTCCTGACCCCCCCCCCCACTGGAAATCGAGGGTAAATCTGAGCCTTCGGGTTGGGTTGGGGTGGTTTGGTGGGCGGTGACTCATGGGGACCTAAGGAAGAATCGTGACGTGACCTGGGTTCTGGCCTGTGGAGCTCCCGGGGGGCCAAAGGCGGAATCGTGACCTGGGCTTGGGCCTGTGGAGTTTTTGGGGGGCCTTGCGGGTCGGGTTCTCGCGGGCCCGCCCGCGCGCCACAGGCCCAAACGCTGCACTGGCCCGTGGAGTTCGTTGTTGGCATTGCGCGTTGGGGTGCTGTTGCTTTGCGCGCCATCTCTGGATGTTCCTGGCCGGAAAAAAAAGCAAGGCACACGTCCGAGCGATGCCAAGGTCACCTTCTCGGCGCGCGCAACACGGGGGGACAGGGGCAGGGGCAAGGAGGAGGGCGGCCCTCGAAAGAGCTGGGGGCGCCGCGGACGGGGTCGGATCCCTCCAGGCAGCCTCTCCAGGCAGGCCCGGAGGACCTCCGAGAAGCCCCCGCGCCCTCCTGAGAGGCCGCGGGAGGGCGCTGGAAGGAGAGGGAGAGAGAAGGAGAGAGAGAGAGAGAACAAAATATAAAAAGAGAGAGAGAGAGGGAGAGAGGAAGAGAGGGAGAGAGAAGGAAGGATATGGGGGAGAGAGAGGGAGGTCGTATCGGCATGGTCTTCTTGTCTGACGCTACAATCGGCCCGTAGAAGAAGGCTGCGCGGTGAGGATGCAAGAGCCTTGGAAGGCCAGCCATGTCGACGCTTTCCGAGCGGGGCGCGGCCAGTGGAAGCGGCCAAGGATGGGCCGAAGGGGAAGGATGCAAGGGTAACCTTGGAAAGTCGATCATCCTTACTATGCGGGTTGACTGCGAGAGGCCTCCTCCGAAACGGGGTCCGGGCAGATGACGTCGGAGGACCGCGCCGCATCGCCGATACATCGGCGACGCATCAGCGACGTCGGCGATGCATCGGCGACGTCGGCTTGCAGAGGATCGGCTCCACTTCCAGCCACATCGCCGATGCGGCGGCCATGCGACGCGATCCTCTGACCCCCCTCTACCCAGACATCCGTACGAAGTGATTTGCCCATGGCGCGGCCCCCGACGTCGCGACTCTTTCCCAGGCAGAAGGTTTTCGTCGCTGGCCCGCTTTTGATGGCCCACGCGGCCCGATGACGGGCTCCGGGCGGGGGGGTCTGTGAGGGCCAGGAAGGGGGCTTGGAGGGGGACAGGAAGAGGGACATGGGAGAGGGACACAGGAGGAGGATGAGGAGGAGGAGGAGGAGGAGGAGTATTCGTCAGGCGCGGCGCAAGGCGTGCAGGGCACAGCTAGGCGACTCGGGCACGGCACGGCTGAAGAAAAGACGGGGCCCGAGCACCTCCCCACATGGGGAGTGCAAGCCAAGATTGAAAGCGCATCTCGTCGGAGATCTGGGCCCTCGCTGGCCGTCGCACCGGCCTGGAATCCGGTCTTCTCCGGCGGCCGTGCGGGGCGCTCGGGGCACACCCACAGATGCTTGTTTCTTTTCCACGTCGGCGGCCAGGCAGGGTGACCGCGCTGGCGGACGGGGCACATGTACAGGAGGCGGAGGAGGAGGAGGAGGAGGAGGAGGAGGAGGAGGCTGCGGCGGCGGCGCTCCAGAAGAGACCAACGTCAGTTCGGACTTAGGAGTGTAGCGGGGTTGCCCCCTCGCATCTACACGTCGTTCATTTCTAATCGTGCTCATTTCTAATTGTGCTCGTCTCTAACTGTTCCTGGCCCCCTTGTGGCCCGGAGGAGGCCCAGGATAGAACAAGTAGAAATGAACTTGGCCCCCAAAAAATCAAACAACTTTTGAATCATTAGACATGAACCATGTGTAAGACACACAATCGCTAATCAAGCCGCGGCGCACGGGAGGGGGCGCTAGGTCAGGCTCGTCGGGCAGAACCTCCCATGTATGTGGTGGCGGTCCTCGACCAGCCTGAAACCACGCATCCAATAGTTGCTGAAGGGCGGCCCGGCCGGCCCCTGAAGGGCGGGATCCTTGCTGTCTCCTCTGGTACAGCTGATGACCTGCTGCTTCGAGAAGGCATGCGCTGCCTTGCCCCCTTCCATCAGGCGGGAGGGCACACACACACACACACGCACACACACACACACACACACACACACACACACACAAACACACAAACACGCACACACACACAGAACCCCCAGGGACTCCTGCTCCCAGGGGCTCCCGAGGGGCTCCCCTCGAGGCGCCGAGGCTCCTCAGGAGTCCCCCAGGGGCTCCCAGGGCTTCCCCATCTGCAGATTTCCCTGAGGATCCCCTTGGGATTCCTCCGGGCTCCCCAGGGGGGCTCCCAAGGGCTTCCCTGCCAGGACTCCCTGGGGCTCTCCTGGGGTTTTCCCCAGGGTCTCCTCACTCCCTCAGGATTCCTGTGGGTTCCTGGCCTCCTGGGGCTCGACGAGGCGCGCCGCCCGAGGCGGAACGACCTCCTGGGGACCGGAGGAAGGCCCCTCGGTCGGCCTGGCCAGGGCCGGCCCCAGGCTCGAAAAAGCCATGCCGTCGGCGACCTGGGCGCCTTAACGACGGCGCGACGGCGACGGGGCGACGGCGACGGCGACGGCGACGGCGACACCGCCGACGACGACGACGACGACGACGACGACGACGACGACGACGACGACACGCCCGAGGGCCCTTTTGTCGCCGCGGGGGCCCCCGCCCAGAGCAGCAGCGCCGTCACTCCACGCTGCGCTGGCCCGCCGCGGTGCCGGGCGTGGTGTCCACCCACGCCTGGGCGGCGCCGACTCTGGCGCCAGAGCAGCGAACATACCCAGAGATCCAACGCGTTAAAAAAATCAAGACGGAAACGTTTCGTATTTTTCGGCCTCGAGAGGCCCTCGCCGGGCCCCGGGACCGTCAGAAAAACGACTCCGGATGAAAAACCGGTCCTGGGGAATGGGTCGAGACTGCTGGGGACCCCGTATCGAAAAAGTCACGACATCGGATCTCTGGGTATGTATCCATGTCCTCGCCCTCGCGGTCTGGATTCCGGGGCGCGATCCCGCGGATACGCAGTCGTACCGATACGTTCCGCACGGCAGAGCCACGAAGTAGGAAGGCGTTGAACGTACAGCCGAAAGCACTCTCAAGCAAGCCATCTGCAAATTGCTTCAGAAACTGGGCGAGCACTCCGGCAAGTTGGTTAAGAAACGCTGGCCAGCTTTTCGGAAGGAGGTCTTTTTATCAGATGATCGACCGTAGATGGGGGGCACCAACAACAACACAGGGGGTTGCCTCCACATGGGGAAGATGATCCTAGATTTCGGTGTTGGCCGTGTTGGTGGCAATATTTCGGTCACCTTGGAAGCCAGAATATTACCACCATCACCGAGATCGTGATCTTCTTCCCTCGGTGGATGCACACCGCCGATATTGGTGTTGGTGTCAACCTCTAGGCCTGCGGTCGTGACACTGCCGGCCCCCTCCCCACCTCCCCGCCCCTGCCCGCCCCCCCCCCTCGGTTAAGGCCATGATCTCGAGAGGAAAGCAAGAAAAAAGGGCTCCTCTTGCGGTTCTTCGACCCGCGCCGGATCTTCCACGGTTTCTCCAGACTTCTCTGGAGATGTTCGGGTTTGCCTCGTTTCATCTGGACCTGCATCGAAAAAGGTCGACCTACCTTGAACTCGCCGGCCCAACGGGCCAGAGGCGTGCTAAGATCTCCAATAACTACTTAACAATATTTCTAGTTCGCGTGCGCGGGGCGGCCCCTGGGGGCCCCCGGACGAAAAGTACCCCAGCTGATCCCCGGCCGGGCCCCGGGCGATCCCCAGGGGGGCGGCTATTTTTCGCCACCCCTCACGAGGATCGTGGCCTTCGAGGGGGTGGCTGCAATCGACTACCCCCCCTCCCGCCCCAAGGGGCCCCCAAGAGCCCCCTAAGAGGCCCCAGGGGAGCCCAAGACGCCGCCAAGGAGCCCCAAGACGCTCCCAAGAAGCCCCCAAGAGGCCCCCAAGACGGCCCCAAGAGGCCCCAAATAGCGCTCCAGGGCCGGCGGAATGAGCGAAGCGACAAATAATCTGTCCCCAGAGTCCCGATGCCGTGATTTCTAGGGACCCCGGGGGTCCCTAGAAATCTCGACCCATTCCCCAGAACCCGTTTTTCATCCGGAGTCGTTTTTCTGACAGTCCCGGGGCCCGGCGAGGGCGGGCCGGAAATGATGAAAAACCTACGCCTTGATTTTTGCAACACGTTGGATCTCTGGGTCCTGGTCCTCGCAGGACGATTGAAGAGTAGTCGCGAAGCCCTCAGAGTCTCTCAGAGAGTCTGCCCCCCCAGGTCCTGGGCGGGCTGGCTTCCGGGGGGCGGGGGGGGCACACGGACCCAGACCATCGGCGATACAGTCATCGGCCTGACCTAAGGAACGACAAGTAGGGAACTAAGCCCCTGCTTTCCCCAGGAACACCAGGGGGGCTCGCCGCCAAAAAGGCAGCGAAACGCATGCGAACTGAAGGAACGACCGCGAGCCCTTTTTGAAAAGCGAGTGCTGCTATAATTCAAGCCGCTCCCTTTCTGCATCGCCGACGGATCGGCGGCTTAAGGTGCCCCGAGAGCGACGCCGCTCGACTCCTGGGCCGGGGGGGAGCGCCGAGGCCTTGCTTGGCGACCAGTGGGCGACTGGAGGTCGATGACTCCCCCCCATGGGCGACTAGGAGAAGCTAGGGCTCCCAACTTCGCGCTTCGCGCTGCGCGAAGCGCGAAGCGCGAATAACTTCGCGCTCTCGCGCCGCCCTCCCAGAGGGAGAAGAGGAGGACGAGGAGGAGGGGGAGAAGGAACGAGGACCGCGAAGCGCGAAGCGCGAATAACTTCGCGCCCTCGAGGGAGCCCTTAGAGAAGCTGGCATAAGCATAAACCCTCGGAGGTCCGCGCAAAAGTCGTGGATCTGCGCAGGACCCGCCTCCCTGGCGCGCGGGGGCGCCGCCCGGCGGGTCCCCAGCGCCGACCCGAGAACGCCCCGCGGACCTCCGAATGGGCCCGCTGAGCTCTTGCGGTGGCTTCTTCCCTAAGGGTGAGGGGAGGGGAGGGAAGATACCAATATGCCGCTGCTCCCTGGACCTCTCCCAGAGTGCGTCCCGACCAGGGTGTTGAGGTGAATCCAGCCGTGGCGAGGAGGGACGAGCAACGGTAATCTCCTCCTCCTCCTCCTCCTCCTCCTCCTCCTCCTCCTTCTCCTCCTTCTCCTCCTGCTCCTCCGCCTCCTCCTCCTCCTCCTCCTCCTCCTCCTCCTCCTCCTCCTCCTCCTGCTCCTCCCCCTGCGCCACGCCCATCCTCTGCCCGGGACCCGTGCCCGTACCCTCCTGGCCTGGCCATGGAGGCAAGCAGCTGGACATCCAGCGATATGATGTGCTCAGTGCGTGGCCCCAGAGCTGCCGACCCCTCCCCGGTGCTAGTTTTGCGTGCCCGATCCATGGAGGAGGAGGCGGATGAGGATGAGGAGGAGGAGGAGGAGGAGGAAGAACAGGAGGTGGAGGAGGAGGAGGTGCGCAGCCCCAGAGAGAGGAGGAAAAAAACGGCATGAGCATAAACTTTTGGCGCTCCGCGCGGATGTCTTGGATCCGCGCTGGACCCCCCTCCCTGACGCGCGGAGCGCGCCGGGGGCGGCGCCAGAGGCGCCGCCAGGGGGGGCCGGCGCGGAGCCAGGAAATTCGCGCGGAGCGCCAAAAGTTTATGTCAATGCCGTCTTCTCGTCTTCGGCCAGAGCTGCCGACCCCCCTCCCCAGTGGTAGTTCCGTGTCCCCACCCCGTGTTCGATATGGTCCCGTGGCTCCGAAAAAGGGCCCCCAGAGGCCGAAGTGCAGGAGAAACGCCCCGATTGAAAAAATCAGGATCGCCGGAGATCTGGATGCACCGATCGTGGGCCCAGGATCGGCCAGGTCCGCATCGGTGAGGTGGTCAGCCGACCTCCGCCCCCGGGTCTCGAGCAGGGCCGCGCGGGGGGCAGTCTTCTGCCGGCCCCGCCGTGGGCCCCCCGGCTGCCGGGAAGAGTGTGCCCAGGTGGAAAAGGAGGGGGGGCGGGGTCGAGGGCCGAGGAGGGTCGAGGAGGGTCGAGGGGGGTCCAGGAGGGTCGAGGAGGATCGAGGAGGGTCGACGGGCAAGGAGGATCGAGCAGGGCCGAGGAGGGTCAAGGATCGAGGAGGTTCGACCGTCGAGGAGGATCGAGGAGGGTCGAGGAGGGTCGAGGATCGAAGAGCGAGGGTCGAGGAGGATCGAAGAGGGTCGAGCCGGGTCGAGGATCGAGGGGCGTCGAGGAGGGTCGAGGAGGCCCGGGGTGGGATCGCGGCTGGCCGAGGCGGGGAGCTGGGGACGGGGGGTCATTGGCGTGTGAGCGGTTGGGGGACGCCAACGGCTCAACGGCTTCAGCTGTCCTTCTTCCTTCTCCTCCTCCTCCTCCTCCTCCTCCTCCTCCTCCTCCTCCTCTCCCCTCCTCCTCCTCCTCCTCTCCTCCTCCTCCTCCTCCTCCTCCTCCTCCTCCTCCTCCTCCTCCTCCTCCTCCTCCTCCTCCTCCTTCCGCCTCCTACGCCTCCTCCTCCTCCTCCTCCTCCTCCTCCTCCTCCTCCTCCTCCTCCCCCTCCTCCTCCTTGCTGAGTTTTTTTGGGGGGCGGTGCCCAGCAGATGTGGAGGCCCTCCGGATGCCCCCGAGGCCCCAGGACCTCCTGCAGCGCCTCCGCTGCGGACAGGTCCACGCATCCGACGGTGCGATGTTCTCGGTGCGCGGCCCAAGAAAGCCTCAGCATGACGACGGTGATGGTGATGGTGATGGTGATGGTGATGGTGATGGTGATGGTGATGGTGATGGTGATGGTGATGGTGATGGTGATGGTGATGGTGATGGTGATGGTGATGGTGATGGTGATGGTGATGGTGATGGTGATGATGATGATGATGATGATGATGATGATGATGATGATCACGGTAATGATGGTGATGATGATGGGAATGATGACGATGAGGAAGAGGAGGAGGAGGAGGATTATCTTCCTGCTACAAACCAGAAAGATGGCTGCGACTGCGACCGCAATATGTATGTTCGGCTGCTCTGCTGCGGGGCGACTTCTCTTAGTTGAGCACCCGTGCCCAACTAGAAGCCCAGGGCCAAGCCGCCTCCGGAACAAAACAAGAATGATGGCCCACCATGCTGAACGGGAGCTGACCTCAAACGGGTCAGGCAAGTCACACGCGCGACGACGGCCTGCACGTATAACCTCTGGCTGAACAAACTGGGCGAACCCAGGCCTCAACGGGCGGCAGGAACAAATGCGAACGACTTGAGAAAGCATCCGTACGGGCTCCGATCAGGAACACTGAACACACTAAACAAGGCAATTGGAGAGATACCTGAAACAACCTGGCTTATGTCACGGCCGATGACGGTAAAGACCAACAACCGACTCAACGTCGGACTCCAGATCTTCAGGAAGACCTGCATCTCCTATTCATCCCAGCTGTCGGGGAACATCCCAGAAGCACTGGATCATATCCTCCTTGGCGCGGGGGGGGCCCACCATAGAAATTGCGCATGAGAAACGCATTGAGCTGTTAGACAACACCAGGATTCGACGACCACGACATGATGAGGAACTCCCTTACCTCCTGGAAACTGCCTGTCACAAACTTGCACGTAGCACCCCACATTGTTTTGATGATGCGCTTCTGCGATGCCGAAAGAACACCACCCACAACCTGGCCGCCCATGGCAGGGGCATGCGGAGGCGGTTGAGGAGTAAAAGCCGAC